AAACTCACAAAAGAATGAAAAAAAAAAGCAAAGGTGACGAGAATGGAAGTGTTTCCCAAAGGAAGAAGAAGACAGAGAAACAAAAGCTTTCCCAATCAGATAACAAAAAGAAATATCTGAAAAGTTCAGCTCAGCTCGTGCCAACAGACTCGGTCAATGAAGACTAACTCCCACTACCTTTTTTTTCTTACATGAGTTACAAGATCTGCTTCGGTTCGCCAACCACGCCGAAAAGCCCGACAAGTTTTTCTTTTAATCTTTTTCTACACGATCAAAAACAGAATTTCGTTCCAAGAAGCAAAAAAATACAAAAATGAGCAAAGCTTCCCTCTTTCAATACACAATAAGGGGGAATGTATTTTCAGAGAAGAAACCCAGCATCCATCATCCCGTCACACGACTGCTTCTGTTCCTAGTCGGCTGCCGAAACGCACGGGCTAGTCAAGAGAGAGGGGATAAGGCTATCTCTTTCGGAGGCATTTCGGGCAATCGACGACTCTCGTTCCAGGACGCGGTTATGTCAATATCGGTCGGTGGAAACGAGAAATTTACAACTTGAGGCAGTTGAGTCCAAGGTTGACCAAACCGTTCTATATAAGAAGAGCACAAAATACATATTAGTCAACTGTCTTTCTCAAAAAAGGGACGATCGGTTCAGCAAAACACAGATTCACCGTACCTGAACAGAACTGTCGCTGCAGCAGTAAGAGTCATCACCGCAGGTTTTACCCAGAACGTTCACCGTGCAACTGAGTTGCTTGAGGATATTGCCGATGGGGAGTATTCCCAAGAGGCTGCCTTGGTTGACGGTGGAGTGGTCGTCGATGCCGCAGCAGACATAGTTGTTATGTCCGTTGGTGCTGCACGGATTGCCAGAGCCTCCGGTAGGAACGGCGATGACGGTAGCGGCGAGAGCCAAGATTGCGGCAGTCCACTTCATGTTGACGGTTTGTTGGGGCGGAGGAGAAACGAAGAAGCTTCCGAGTAAAGAGTGTAGTAAAGACTGTTAATTGAAACTTCTGCGAAGATTGTTAGCGGGATGAAAAGAAAGAAACAAGGTGGTTGCAGTCGAATGGGAGTATTGAGGCCTTTTATATCCAACAGCTTTCTCTTCAAGTGTCTCGTATTACTTCTTCCTATCATCTGGGAAAAACTTTCCATGGAAGCACACAAGATCCTTGCCGTGGAGATTTCTCCGTACCAAATTTTCAGTCATCAAGCCATCCCTCATGACCGGTTGTACCAGGCTCGCTGTTGCATGCTGCATGCTACGCCATGTACACGCCCGGGTGCACATCACGAAGTTCATCTTGCATGCAGCCTCCACCGGAACTGCTTTTTCCTTGGAAGTTGCAAGAAAACTACCAGGGGTAGCGCTTTTTCTTTCTTTTTGCTTGACTGTTGCAGGGGAATTTCGACTCTCCGAAAACCACCCCCCTCCCTTGGCCCGCTCACACCCCTCCTCTTCTCTCTTTCGAGCGCCTTATAGTAAATGCCAAGTCGATTTTTCTGGACATCATGTTCTAGGATCGACACAAATAGTTTGCTGCTTGCCTACTCATGCAGATGCCGTGCGCGACGAGGCTGACATTGAAAAGGTACACGTGAATGCATGTACATACATAGATGCTAGCTGCAACGTGCAACCTCAGCTGAGGCCTGGACATCAGGACTAAAAGAGGGCGATCAAGAAAAAATTAAAATTGAATAGTCACAGTCAAGTCAAGGTGCGTGGCATCACTACATACCTTGCGGAACCCAACATTGCCACCGCCTCCTGGTAGTCACTCTTATGCTACCAGCCAAAAGTAACATAGATTGCATATTCGACGTACGTGGCTTGGAGAGCCTCTTGTTTTCCGATCGCCACTCCAGTTACGGAACACACACAAACCCACTCGGATACATATGGATTTATGTACAATCACACCAAATTAAAAGGCCAATACGGCTGCGGGATCTGTTGGACCCTCGTGAACAGCCTCTGCGTTTCTTTCTGGACGTTTCATCCAACCAAGGCCTTCCGTCGATGTGTTGTATTTCCTTCTACTTTTGTTCTCTGATCAGGTTGTCCGCAAAAGCCGGCAAGCCCTACAGGATCTTTAGCTCAGTCCCTCATTCAATGTCTTATACTTGGCATGTGCGAGAGGGCGTACCAACCAGTCGAGACATTGGGTTTGTACCAACACATCTGTAAAGTAGCTATTTGCTACTATCTAGACAGGTCCAACCAGATGATTATATTTTCAAAGGAATGATCAACGCTACTTTACTAGGTTCCATAGCGATGGGGGGGACCTCTGTGGACGTCGTGCTAAGACAAAGTGTAGTGTATTTCCGCGGGTCCTGGCTCATAGTGTCCGATTGTGTATCGGCAAATGGGGAATAAGAGCTTACCATTGGTATAGCTTGTGATTGGAAAGATTGGCTCGCGTGGATTCGTCCACATGCACATCATCATGCACGACTTTTGTGCCTGATTCTTGCTGGATGCTGAGCACTCTTTTCTCGACCCTTACTCGTACGATGTTTTTTTTATCAAACGACCCGGAACTATGTATCATATGGCAGTCAATAATCTGGTTACACAGCAGTTCATGGGAACGAGAGAAGAACCGCTCCCTGGGTGTGGCGCGAGATGCACGTTGTCAGTTGTACATACGGCTTTATTCCCATCGTATGTTTGCCCCTAGCTTTTACCGCAACCACAGTGGTCCGCGTTCAAGTTTCCGAGCACTTTGGTCTGGTCACTGTCTTGTGCTAGGTGACTAGCCTCAGACACACCGAAGCCAGAATGTGAAAGAAGGGTGAGATTAACGACAGGGCAGCGGATGAACCCGAGAAAAAAAAGAGAAAAAAAAGAGAAAAGAAAAGAAAAGAATAGAAAAGAATAGACAGACAGAATAGTGACGGCGACACGATGTAAGAGGAGCGATACGTAGCAGCACGGCTCGCATGACCGCCACACGTGCCGTCAGGGATAGGAGGTACTCTTACCATTGGTCCTAGATGTGTCAGCCTGCTCTGGTGCTGGATATGTTTTACGAAGGGCCGAAGCCAAGGTACAAGCTCCCTCCATGGTCCAGCGTCCACGGCTTGCCCATTGACTCCATCTACAGACAACATCTGCTTGGGAACATGATAATTTTGTTCAACTATTCTTGTACTCATGTGCCTCCTGTCACTCGAAATGACGCTTCCTCTCCCCTGATGGTCGCTACAGATGCAACATTGGGTGGGACTTCTCCCGGAAGCCAAGCTGGGATTTACAGTTCTCGGGAATCCATGTCGATGAAGGGAGTTTCGAAGCGCGTTGTCCACCTGCGCAATAGCGAATAGCTAGTCATCGGCCGATCGCTCACACGGGTTTCATGACGTCGAGATACGAGGTACAATGCATGGAACTAGGTCAAGATTAGAATGACAACAACGAAATGGGACAAAGCAAAACATTTGTCACAACAAGAGGAAGACAGACTCGCAAAGAATGATTGATCTTTTTTTCTTTCGGTACGCTATTATCAGTCGTACAAGATGGCGAAGATATATTCGAGAGCTGAGTGTTGATGAGGCCATAGGGAACTCAAACTATCGAGCCAGAAATTTTGCATTGAAGAAATTTGGCAAAAGATGTCCGATTATTGGACTTAGTTCGTCTTCATCTTGCTATTGCTATTGCTGCCGTGTTGACCACGGCCAGTGCAGGCAGGAGTTATGAAACTGGAACATGGCTTCTTGGCGAAAAATTAGTATCTGCGGAGAAATATGCCACTGGGCCATAAAATGCTTCATCGAGAGCATCTGTACCAATCAAGAGCTGTTAAATACCTGATGAATGGAATAGCATAGCATGTCCAATGACCTGCCGATCAAAGCCTTGGTCCCCAGGTACTCCCTCATCTTGTTGAGCATTGGCCTCGTGGCTTTTTCTCTCCCATTCAGAATACGTACGGTGCATGTTTGTCACACGGGCGGTCGGGGTTTGGAAGACTGGGTGAACTAATGACTCTACTCCTATACTCACCATTGTAGGACATGGCACAAGCTATGTTCTTGGACTGGCCTGACCAAGCCAAGATGAGAGTCCACAGCAGAGGTCGATATCACAAATCCTGGGGTGCGTCGAATAAATGCCCTGGCTGCTCAGCACGGCGCCATCCGTTTCTTGTCAGTCATCATGGGCATTGGGTGTTGCCATCGCGGTGGTTCGTGAATTGCTGAAGCGATGCGCTTGCCGGACAGGTCTCGTGAATGCAGTCAGCTGGCCACGCTATTGCTGGCGATTGGACAGGTAAGCCCAGGTTGTCATGCGTCTCCCCTTTCAGCTGCGGTGATAGAGGCTCATTTCGCGTTGCACTGGAGTCGAGAGGTGGTGCATGGTGCGAGCGACACAAAAACGACGAAGCAAGAAAAGATTCGAAGCGCAAAGGCTAAACGAACTACGATGCTCGACACGGCTGGCCACCAATAAAGAATTTAAGTGGCCAGGATCAAGATGAAGGAGCTACCAGGTCGCACTCGTGGGCTCCTGCTTTCTCTGTCCAAACTCCAGCCGACGTCTCGCCTGCCGTCATTGTAGTCTACATGTATCCTCTTGCCGCTGCACGCCCCACAGTACCCCTGAGTGACGTGATGACGTGGTCTGGTCTTGCTGATTTGGTATTCTATCGACGTTTGATGTTAGGTCATTAAGAGTAAGACATGTAGAAGCGGGACAGTACCCAGGTGTTGAAGTTAACCAATTGGCAAATAAGGTACTTCTAGATTGGTTAAACACTGGCGATGCTCATTGAACCTAAGCCGGAGCATGCAAATGTGAGCAGTTTTTTCTCATGCTTGGTGGGTGGTTGAAGAGCTTTTAGGGAGGAAAACAGTGAAGAAACAAAGAGCGGAAATCTGACAATTATAACGACACAATGCATTCTCTCGCTTGACTTTGAGCGACTTGTCCCTACGTCAAGCAGGGACACAAAAAAAGACATTCACAAAAAATAAATTTGTGACACCTGAGGGATTCGAACCCTCGCCTATTACTAGACCGCGAAGAGGGGCGACTGCGCTGGATCAACGCAACCGATCGCCTGAACACGGCGCCTTAGACCACTCGGCCAAAGTGCCTGATTTAACTTATGATCAGCGGTATCTTATTAGAGAATATGTAGTACAAGCGCTCTTCTTCTTCACGCGTGACTTGAATTCTAACTTTCGCAACCCCAAACCCAAATCCAGCCTTGCCTATCGTCCAAAGTCTCAATATCCAATTACCGACGACAAACCAACACCTTTTCATGTTCCTTCCAGTCCAATCGCGCGATCGAATACTGCACGTTCCCAACTTTTCTCCCATCGATGCTTGTTTCCCGTCTCTCCTGCCTCATTGTCCACACAAAACCCTGCTTCCTCTTCTCCACGAAGCCAATTTCCAAGTGCCGTGGTGGCAAGCAGGGAAGTCTTACCTCCACCTGCTCTGCGAATGGCCTTTCTCGTACACTCCTCCCACAAGACTAAAATTATCAGCTGTTTCTCATGGTTTCTAATACGCGTGGATCAAATTCTCCGAGTGTTCCCCATTACCGGTCACCGCAGCGGCGTCTCTCTCCATTCGCTGCCCTGTGGCTGCTGCCACCGGTGAGAGGTTGGACAATCCTGGCGGTATTTCTTCCTCGGGTGGCAATTATCGAGGGGGGAAAGGATCAATGAAGAAAGGACAGAAACACGAGAGGAGGCGTTCGGCCCGTCGCGCAACGGCATCATGGCGTCGAGATCATCTTTCTTTTTTTCTTTCTTTTTTTCTCCTAAACCAATATTTCTAAAGTCGTGATATTTTATTTCTTGTTTTGCAGGGGCTTACTTCCACATTTCCTGTGTAGCCGACTGTGGTATTCTATTAGAGAAGCCTGTTTTTTTTTTTTTTTGTGCACTCCTCCCGCTTAGCTCAGGAATACGAATAATTCAATTCGGCCTTGCTGTGGCATTCTTTCCTCCCATTTACATGCGCCAAGATTTTTCTAATTGATCAATTTATTCTTTTTTGGAGTTTTGATTCTTGATTTTTGACAGGGCCACACAGCATCGGTCGACTCAAATGACAGAGCCGTGTCTCGTGTTTTTGCAGCACTCCATGTTTGTTGAGGGCGCTGGCAAGTCTCTTCCTTGTTCGTGGATTTTGAAAAAAAATCCTCTGGCTGTCGAAGACCTACAGGCACACCGGCGTGCTTCATCGTAAATGATGATACTGTGTGGCACTGCTTCGTCGGTCACTCGGAAGTCGGCCTCTGCGAGACAAGTGTAGGACAAAGTCCAATGTTTACAAGGAGGCGTTTTTGTCACTGTGGCTGCGACGTCGTAAGCTGCTGAACTCTCTGAGTCGAGGACTTTGATTCCGTCGGTAGGAAATATGTTCTTCTTGGAGAATCAATAAACATCTGCCGCACATCAAGCAGCCAACTTTGTTGTATCCAGTGGCGGACTTGTCATGGTACGTTCCTACAGACAGCCGCATACTTCACTCACTACACGTACATGTATTTATGCACATACAATACAGTATTCATGGAATGGAGCGAGGATCCGTCAGGCATCTTGTTGCCATGGCGCTGTGCCAGATTCTTGTGCGCGCCAGTTCTCTCAAGCTGCCAGTTCTCCGAGCGTAGACAACCAGACCGCTTCTTTCCTTTTTCGAAGCCACTCCAGCCTCATCACACTCGTCTCTACCATAAAGACAAGGTTCAAGCATAAGATCGTCGCAGCCGGACCATTTATCCCAGACCGCAGACGCTATTCTCGTCTTCGCTCGTGCCAGACACGATTCTGGGAATAGGCACACCGCACGCGCGATGCACGGCAACGACATTTGCCTCAGCGTCAAGCTATCCAGGATTCAACGTTCCGCAGAGACACTCGAGTTTTTACTCGGGTAATGTCTGTCTTAGGTTTGTTTTTGTCTGGCCCATCTCGCCGCGGGACGTATTCATGGACGCAAGCTCGGAAAGTGTGCCCAGCTACTTCCCTGCCACGATTCGCGTACCTCTTGTTGAGTCACTTACTAGCTGGTGAAAAGTACTCCATGACTGACTGAGTTTTGATATGCGAGAGCTCCGCCTGCCTCTGAGTGAGGAGAGACATGACAGATTGGTGTTGCATCGGCCTGTTCAAGACATGGGACGGCCTCGTCAACGCGGTTGTCAACTTGACCTTGGTGGGACCCGGAATCCGTGAAAGCGTCATGGAAATAAAATATTATGTCAGTTGACACATTTGCTGTGATATTGGTTCAGGTTCAGGAATTTGTGCTTTCCTCCCCTCCCCATTGAGACAACATACTCTTCGGCAGCATTCTTTTTGAAACACTTTCGGAGCAAGACAGGCGGCGAGGAAAATATCAGGCCACATTTCTATTCCGTAGTTTTATTGCGATTTTCCCAACTGCGAGATGATATGGCTTGCAAATCAAGTTTCTTTTCCGCTTGTCCTTACTCTACCGCCTTTTTTAATCTGCAAAAATATCACACTTTCTGAACACCATTTCAATAGCCTACTTTGACCGAGGCAGAATGGGCTTCCCACGTCAATCGCCTGAAACGGGAGACGAAACGCACGCTATACTGGCCCAACGGGACAGACAAAACTCAACATAGGCACACGGAATGATGATGAATTATTTCAGTCATCATCGTGTCAGGAACGAAAAAAAGAAAACTCAGAAACTCGTGGCATCAACGTCGAGCTGCGCCGCCATTAGACATAACTCGTTCTGGCACTCACGTTTCGAGGATATGGTGCTTGGAGCGATCGTCCCTCCATTCCCAATTCTTTCGGGCATCGGTGCTTGAATGTGATACAGAAACTTCTTGGATCCTCTCTTCTTCAGACCTTTCAACATATGTACACTGGTCGACTTGTTGAGGGGTAGAGACTGTTTTTGGCCTCTGAAAAGGAACGTATGGGAAAGAACAAAAGAATACATCCTTGACTCAACTTTCAACACTCGCAGGTAGCAAAAAAAACAATTTTTTTTTCTTTACTCCGACATCTGTCGAGCCAACGGTACTGATCCGCGTGATCCTTGAGCGGGTCGCTTTCGAGCGTTCGCACTCCAACACATGAAGTGCATTGCATCTCTCCGTGATGTTCCCTTGTTAAACAATATAGAGAGGCACGTCGGGAATAGCTTTTTTTCGTGTTCGTGTCAAAGACCAGCTGGCGTTGTCGCTGTAAAAAAGAACGGGCGGGCATGTTGAATATATGGGACGGGCTGGCATTATGATGGCGCGACATGTGCGGCTCTTTTCTATCATCATGAGACCTGACTCTAAAAAGGGTTCTTTTGCTTCGTTTCGATTCGAAACGCAAAATTTGCATGGTGCATGACAATGGTGCAAAGCAAAGCGTGTCAGGCCTCAGCATAAGCAACCTATCGCGCGGAGGCACACATGATTTTTTTTTTTTCTAAGTCCTATCCTAATTTACTAGTGAAACACATACAAAGGAAAATAGTTATATAAAGCGAGCAGTGGGCCTACCCTATCTATGTATAAATATATATAATTCTATACAGAGGTAAGTAATATAGTAACCTAAGATATGCTCACTATATAACACACCCCTTAATTATATTTATTAGATATAATTAGTTAATTATATATTTAGAATTAGCTATAAGTTAGTAATATAAGCTTAAAGTAAAAAAGCATAAATTTATAAGGAAAAAAGCTTCTTTTTTTAGGGCCTTTTTCTCTTACTTTTCTAAAAGCTTAGAATTCCCTCTTTTTTCCTCCTTATAAGTACTTTTCTTATTATAATTAGCTTTATTTAATTATATAAAATTATTTATTATAATATATTTAGGTAAGGAGTACTATAGAATAGAATAGTAATTTATTTTTAAAGGGTATTTTATCTAAATTTCTTTTAATTTTAAGGCTTATAATACTAGTAATTCTTTTAGTTATAACTCTTAGGCTTAGCTAATAACTAAGAAGCTATTAGCTAAAAAAATACCTTTACTAAATAGTAGGCTAGCTATAAGTAGTAAAAGCAATATTTTTATTATTTTATTAATAATTATAATAGTAAAGAATTTATTAAAAAAAGAGCCTTTAGTAGTAAAGTAAATATTAAAAGGTAGGAAGTATTTTCTTTTTAAGCCTATAAATATAAGTAATATAAGTAATACTTTTACTACTCCTTTAAAGCATTAATAAAGGTCTTAAACTATATATAATAGTCTTTATCTTTTTATTTTACCTTATTAACCTCTTTTTTCTTAATAGCCTTAGACTTTTATATAGCTTAGTACTTTATAAAGCATTTCTTATAAGGAATATATATAGGCTATTATTACTAGTAAGGGTAGAAAAGGGAGCTACTATAAGGTTAAGTCTAGCTAATTTTAGAAATACTTTTAATATAAAATAAGTAGTTATTATTATAATTCTTTATATTTTATTTTAGTCTTTATTACTAAATAAATACTATTAATATAGGCTAGAAAAAAAAAGGTAGCTTACTTTCTATTTACTTTATATATTTTAAATATAACTAATACTTAGTATATAAAAAGTATTTAAGTAATGCTATAAAGCCCTTAAACTATAGCTTTCTCTCTTTATAAAACTAGACTCTATATATAAGGAGTATATAGCCTATAATAAAGCTACTTTTATTAATATAAGTAGTATTATAGTAGTAAAAAGAAAAGCTATTATAGTAATAGTAACTATAGATATAAAGAAGCTACTAAAGCGCTTACTTTAAGTGCTATATATATATTAATAGTATTAAGGCATTATCTTTATACTTAAATAATATACTTATATCTTTATTTTTAGTATTAGTAATATTATATAAAAAGTATATACTTTTTTCTATTTACCTTAAGAGTATATTTATACTTTAAGGGAAGGGCTTTTATATTTATTTTTAGAGTAATATATTTAATACCCTCCCTTTAATATACCTTTATTTTATAACTTATTTATTATAATATTATAAAGTATATCTTTACTACTAATTATATATATATTAACTAAGTTAAGCATTTCTTAGAAGCATTTAAATTACTAATAATTAAGGGCCTTTATAAACCTATTAGCTAGTATCTTTACTATAGAAAGATA